CTGCACTCCAGTCTGGGCGACAGAGTGAGACTCCAACTCAAAAAAAAAAAAAGAAGAATAATCAAAGTCCTCTATTTTAATTCTCTCGGATCCTGAGTCTTTTTCATTTCTAGATGAAGTCTATTAGAAAGCTGCAAGCTTATTTACATCAGTCAAAAGTTTGAGCAGATGCTTCCAACAAAGCATACAATATTTTAATTAGATGTTTGAATATAGAAGGAATTAAAGAATCAGTCAGCTACTGGATGTGATTTGTGCAGATTCTGATGAAGTTATTTCTATACACAACTTTGCTTTGAATAGAAATGAGATAAACATGACTATGAGTTTGGGTTCTTATTCTGTTGAAAGGTTTGAGGATCATGTTTCAGATGTGATGGGGCTATTCACCTTCATTTCTTTTTTTTAAGTTGGAGTCTAACTCCGTCACCCAGGCTGGAGTACAGGCATACACCCAGCTACCCCAGCTTCAACCTGCTGGGCTCCGGCGATCCTTCCGCCTCAGTCTTCCAAGTAGCTGGAACTACAAATGCGTGCTACCATACCTGGCTAATATTTTTATTTTTATTGTAGAGACGAGGTCTTGTCAAGTTGCCTGGACTGGTCTTGAACCCAATGGCTCAGGCTATCCACTCACCTTGACCTCTCAAAGTGCTCGGATTACAGGTTGAGCCACCAAGCCCAGCTCACCTTCATTTCTAATGAGTCCCATATATGAAGCTGCTTTATATCTGTTTTTTTTTTTGAGTTGGAGTCTCACTCTGTCACCCAGACTGGAGTGCAGTGGCCACTCCCGGCCACCGCAGCCTTGACTTGCTGGGCTCCGGTGATCCTTCTACCTCAGCCTTCCAAGTAGCTGGAACTACATGTGCGCGCTACCACGCCCCGCTAATTTTTGATTTATTGTAGAGATGAGGTCTCGCCAAGTTGCCTAGGCGGGTCTCGAACCCGTGGGCTCAGGCAATCCACTCACCTCAGCCTCCCAAAGGCGCGGGATTACAGGCTGAGCTACCGAGCCCGGCTTATATCTGTTTTAAAAGCAGCTTTTTGTATCACAAATTCCAGATACATGGGGGGTGAGGGGGTGGGAAGAAGCTTTTACTGCAGGCTTGTCTTTTAACATTGAGAAATTAGGGTTCAGGTCTCAAACCAAGCAAAACTGAGGTGAATTGCATCATCTCCATCCTCAGGGGCTTGGTTTTCTGGGAAACCCAAGGTAAGGACAGGGTGAGTTCAGGACATACATGTTAGCAGAGTGGAGTGTGATGGGGCCAGCATCCAACACCTTAAGTGTACTTCGGTTACCAGAATATTTGACACACCCACAAATTAAATGCAAAACATTTTAATTCATTAATTCTAAAAATAACAGAGACATTTTATATCTAGTGCCACCTCTTCAGAAGTCTACTGCAGATTAGACAGCCAGACGGCAAAGTAGAAAGCTAGACATTAAAATTAAAGATGTAGTTTGGGACAAGACCATAATGGGGATATTTTCTTTCCCTTTGCTCATATACATAAGTTGTCAGCTTAAAAAATCTTCAGAGGGAAAGAGAAAGCTTTCTCATATCTAAAACTTTTATCTTTATTTTAAATCTGTCTGCAACATTTGAAGCCAAAACAGATAACCAGCAAACTTACCTCTCAGTACAAGGATCTGAGCTGGGCTCCTGGGACTAAAGCCTGTGGTTTAGTTCTATTTCTACCATTACCATGATGTGAGCTACTATGGTTCTTTTAGTTACAAGAGGTGTTAGGAATGAATGCCCACTCACATTTAATAATAGCTTATCTAGCACACAACTCTGCAGCACAATACCAACAACAGGAGTGTTTTAAAGCAGGGTGGAGAAGAAAGCAGACATTGGTACAACTTAAGGTTTCCTTTGTCCTTCCATCTTTTTACAATTAGCATTGAGGTCACAAGCAAAACTCTCCAGAATGCCCACACTGTCCTTTGGCCCACCACATTCCAAACTTCTGACTTGTGATTCCCAATCCCTTAGTGCCTCAGGCTTTAGTGATGTAGCCTTCTCGGATGAGGAAATCATAGATTTTCCGGGTTTTGTTCACATCTATCTTGATGAGTGCTCTTGCCTGTGCCAATCTCAAGCCTCCTTGCTTGTTACATTCGTTCAATAGAGCAGATTTGTATTCTAAATAGGCTCCAGGGACCAACCTCACCATCTGACAGAGCTGCAAGACATAGCAAATTTAATAAACATTAACATCTGTCATTTTTGTAATTTCATCCAGCAGGTATAGAAAAAATTTTTACAAAGTGACATCAACCTCCAGCTATTTATAGGAGCAGATGGGTGGCTGGACCACATTCCATTTGGTATCTTCTCTGCAGAAAACACTCCCTCAGGAAAGACAGCCAGGAGAGCCTTAGCACATGCAGGCTGGTTCAGGGACCTGGGTTTGTTAGGGAATACAATTGTTGTTTCTGAGGAACAGCCTGACACACTCAGGAGTCAAGCACTAAATGCCCAGGTAGAGGCTCAGCACCCCTCTCATGGTCAGGAAAGAGCCACAGGACACAGTGGGAGTGGAAGATGGAGACACCAGGGCTCCCAAGTGTGAATCAGGTTATTTTTAGTATTTTAGTATTGAATAAAGCACTAGCCCCTGCTTTTGTGATTACATTTCCTACTTGGAAAAGAGATATAGAGACCTTGTTAAGAGAAGGTCACTTTTAAGTACTAAAAAAAAATCTAGAAAAGTTGGCTCAATTCCAATTCATCTGCCACATTATTCAGCAATGAGCATTCTGAGGTCACCATTATGTGGGTAAGGATAAAAAATGCTTAACATTCCAGGCCATTCAATACTTGAATCAGACTGGTTTGTGACCTTCTTCAGCAATATGCAGATACTACATATACCTCCTTCTACTCCCAAACTAACCTTTACTGTTCCTGGTGGATAAAATAAGACTAACACAAGCCCCTACATATGACTCTTCCTAATTATGTGACCTGAACCAATGATATGGAATGGCAGATTGGGAGATCGACTTAGGGAGTTATAAGGAAGGTGCATATGAGGAGCAAAAGAAAAATTCCTCTCTTGGAATGGACATCAGAGCTGTGATACATTTTTTTGAAAACTTTTGATGATGACTCTCAGGAGGCTGGATTTAAGTTTTAGAAACTGTCAAAATCAATAAGAAGACAAGCCTGATGACTGCCATTGAAAGAAAATTAGGCCATGTCATTTTTATAATCAAAATTAATGTGATGGCTGTGTGTGGGGGCTCATGCCTGTAATCCTGGTACTTTGGGAGGCCAAAGAGGGAGGATCACTTGAGCCCAGGATTTCAAGACCAGCCTAGGCAACATAGCGAGACCCTGTCTCTAAAATAAATACATAAATTTTAAAATAATTAATGTGTCTATATATGATGTAGAAATTCTTTATGTTTACAAATATGCTCTGGAGACAATTACAAAAATATTTTCTGTGATGACTATACTGTTGAAATAAGTGTAGAACTTTTCAAAGTGGCTACTCTAAAAGGAAATACCTATTTTCATGTAAAAGTTAATTTAAGTTTATAAAAATTAATTTCATTTACATAATGCACTCAGAGTGGCCCTTAGTAAATGCTCAATACATAAATGTTGCTGCTATTATTTAATTTACACATTACATGTTCTTTTCCCAAAAGAGGAATAGTGGCAGGGTGACAAGGAAAGAAGTTCTCTGAAACCTGCCACAGCTGGCTCTTACCGCCTGGTCTTCTAGGACACACCAGAGCTACACATATATATTGAACATGCAGAGCAAAATGGGTTTGACCCCACAATGAGTTTCTTTTTTTTTTCTTTTTCTTTTTTTTTTTGAGTTGGAATCTCACTCTGTCGCCCAGACTGGAGTGCAGTGGCATGCTCCTGGCCACCGCAGCCTTGACATGCTGGGCTCTGGCGATCTTTTGCCTCAGCCTTCCAAATAGCTGGAACTACAGACACGCGCAACCATGCCCGGCTAATTTTTTTGATTTATTGTAGAGATGAGGTCTCGCCAAGTTGCCCAGGCAGGTCTCAAACCTGCAGGCTCAGGCAATTCACTCACCTCGGCTTCCCAAAGTGCAGTATTAAAGGCTGAACCACTGAGCCCGGCCCATAATCGGTTTCTAATGACAACTTAATGAATAATCAGCCCCTATTTTCTTTCCTCTAGTTCTCCCCTCACTGTCTTTTTGTTACCTCCTTTTCTTTTTCATTCAGCTTCTCTGTGCCAGGGAGGCCAGTGAGGTTCAAGGGTGGTGCACTTCGTCTACCTATAGATATAGACAGAAAAGGGCATAGATTTCATCGGAGTGACAATTCCTTAGGTGAAAGGGTAAAACAGTTCAGTGCAGCCAGGCCAACTAGGTATAGGATAACTATATCCAGTTGTAGGAAATCTTGCCCCATCTCTTCAGGCCCTGCTTAGCTAGCAACATGGATGCCCCAGCATTCACTTGAAAATAAAAATGGTAATCCAGGTACCCTGAATTACGTATTCCGGGTACACGAATTATCTAAAATCTGCTAAAATACACATAGAGTCACACATACCTTAGTGTCATCCAGTTAAGGAAGGTCATACATTGCCTGCCTTGACAGCTGATGAATGGAAATAACAACTCTGCAGAAGGAACATTCCCTAATCCTCACCACTCTGCCAGCAATACAAGGAAGGAAAACATGGTAATTAACCAAGTACTGTGTGCCTTTAGATCAAAGGCAGACTGTTAGGCCAGCAAAAGGACTTCTTATTTATTATGTGAGAGAATATCTGTTCCTTCCGAAGTAACCTTGTTTACCTGAAAGATCCACACAAAGGAACAATAAGCCATTATATGGCAAAGCAGGGGCTGAGGTCAACTCACATACCTGAGAAAGAAACCTAAGTAGGAGGTCACTGGCCAGGATGGGAAGCTTGATGTGCAAAATTTTGCTTAGTTTTGAATGTATATTTGGGATTAGTTTTAAATTGGGGATGGATGGACTGAATTAAATAAAGAAGTTTTAAGAGGGTTGTTTTTCAGGTAGAAAAAAAAGGGAGAGGCTGTTACAAGCTGCTTTGATGGAAAACAGGCTTTTCAGTAATAGCAATAAGGGAGATAGGGCATAGGGCTCAGACCTGTAATCCCAGAACTTTGGGAGGCTGAGGTGGGAGGATCACTTGAGCCCAGGAATTTGAGACTAGCCTGGTTAACATAGTTAGACCCTGTTTCTACAAAAGAATTTTAAAAATTTGCTGGGAGTGGTGGTGTGTACCTGTAGTCCCAGCTACCCAGGAGTCTGTGGAAGGAGGATCACTTGAGCCCAGGAGTTGGAGACTGCGATGAGCTGCAATTGTGACCTGTACTCCAGCCAGGGCAACAGAGTGAGACCAGGATGTAAAACAAAACAAAACAAAACAAAACAAAAACAAAGAGGATAAGGGCTTACCCAAAATGCTTAAAAAGAAAAATGAAATCTTTTGGTGTCTCACAAGTGTTACTAGAGGCTAGACTACAATCAATGCCAGGCTTCCAATGTCTCATTGCCTTAAGAGCAACTCAGAGCATAAAATAGAGCAAAGGGCCTCCTCAACCTAAATATAAGAGGTCAACCTAAATATAAAAGGCTAACATGAGCCTAGGAAGAAACAATGAACAGGTGAGCACAGATGGTTCAGAAAAACAAATACCAAAGTTGCAGATCATGTTAGCCAGTTCCTTCATTTTAATTAGCCAATATTAACTTACTTGTATTTCTATATTTAGATTTGGGGAGAGGGGTTGGCAGAAAGAAATTTACAAAGTAAAACTTGGAGTTCACTGTCTTGGCTACTCCCTTTTCTCCTTTAAGTATAAAAGGTAATTACTTAAAACAAGGAAATAAAGGAAAACAAAATTATCATCCCTGAAAAGGCCTTATCTGGGCTTTGTCCAGATCCTGAATCTACTGAGATTTTATAAGGTCTCTTGTCCCAAGCCTCCAGAGAATGGTAAAATGGAAAATGGGTTGCTTTTGACTACTCCCCATCCTTAATCAGTGGAGTGGTCTGAATGTTCTGATTAGGAAAAATGACTAATCTATCATATAGAGCAGGAGTGAATGATAACCAAGGGAATATGCAAAGTAACATCACACCCTTCCTTCAAAGCTTCATAACTAATACCTTCCCAAATTCCTGGTTGTTGAACCAATCACCAAGGATCAGCCGACAGCACATAGCTTAATCTTGCTCTGTCAACTAATCTCAAAATAGGATATACCCGAAGATGTAAAGCTAAGAAATAGAAATACCTTAGGTCTCCAACTATGAAAAAAATCTTGGCATTTCTGGCAAGTAACATGCTTCTTTGCTCTTATCAGATACAAATTTTTTTTATTTGAGTTGGAGTCTCACTCTGTCGCCCAGGCTAGAGTGCAGTGGCATGCTCACAGTCACCCCAGCGATGACCTGCTGGGCTCCGGCGATCCTTCTGCCTCAGCTTCTAAGTAGCCGGAACTACAGGTATGCACTACCACACCTGACTAATTTTTTATTTACTGTAGAGACGAGGACTCGCCAAGTTGCCCGGACTGGTCTTGAACCCATGGGCTCAGGCAATCCACTCGCCTTAGCCTCCCAAAGTACTGGGATTACAGGCTGAGCCACCGAGCCCGGCTCCTGATACAAATATTTTAATTTATCTCTTGTGAGACAAGTCTCAAAATTTGTGATGGACACAATGCAGTAAACTAACTGCTCATGAACATTGGCAAAATGAAGAAGCTACCTTTCTGAGTTCTTTCTGCCCCATCTCTGTATCACACTCTGAGGATAATTCCTACCTGGTCATGAGGATTGGGAAAATCTGCTGATGTGTGTATTTTGATCTGATACTTGATTACCATTCTTTCTGCCTAAGCACCCTGTTCCTACAGAGGGAGCAGGAATGCTGGGTCACCATAAGTCCTAGAATGCAAACTTCACAATTAAAACTTGCTCTGGCCTGAAAAACAATTACCTGAATTTGAAGCCATTGGAATGGAAGGACTCAGGCCAGAATCACTACAACAAAGAAGAGGAATTTAAACTTAGGTCATATCAAAGAATGCAATTTTGAAAATCCCTATGGGACTGGGTGCCACTTATCAGGTAGGTCACTTTGAAGCGATATAATGGAATAGACTGCACCATGTTTTGTAGACTATCTCATTGTACTGACTAAGAAAGAAAATGGATTCTGAAGGGAAAAAAAAATTCCTCTGATTTGTTAAGAAAAATTTGTGGCCATTGCCGTAACTAGACTCTGGTGTGGTCATGTGCTCTCTGAGCTATGGCTGTTGTCATGTTTCCTGGCTTTGGTCCCCTTCCCTACCTTGGGGAGGTGAATCTCCTCTTTCTTTCTCTCTAATTTACTTTTTAAATAAACTATATTTTCCAATCTAAAAAAAAAGAGCACGTAACCTGGGGTACCAGTGACACCATTCAGGGAAGGGACAGGAACATGACCCTCCAATGAAAATGATACCAGTAGATAAGAAAAGGGAGGAGGGAGCAAAAGGCATGGGCGGGAGGCTGGGGGGAATTCACTAATTTAAAAAAATAAGATCAAAGTAGCAAAGTAAGAGTCTAGGAGGCCAGATGTTTCTCAAAATGACCAGTGCCACACTGTTTCTGAGATGGACTGCTAAAATCTTTCTGAAATTTCCTAGTTAGCCACATAATAATCATTATTCTGTCATCTAGGGTGGCCACAGAAGTGTCCAAAATATATGTGAAGGCCAAAGCGTCCAGGAGTGTCTCCTTCACCCCAACTAATTACTAACATGTCGGCTTGCCGGCGGAGCCACTGCTGGCAAGCACTACTGTCCTGGATGTACTGGAGAACTTCAGAAAGCATGGTGCGTTTCAGGCGCTCTTCCTCTCGTGTCTTCTTGAGGTGATCATAGGTTCTGGCACCTGGAGGTGTAGAAAACACCATGACTGCAATAACAATACAGCAGAACTGAAGGGCTTCCTCACTGACCAGCAAACAGTTTGTCCTTTTTATGATTTCCTTTGCAAAACTGCTTTTACAATTATATTTCCAAGAGCAAAGTCAATTTCTCACAGAAATTGAAATTTCTGAAATCTTCTTTCTTATTTTCCTTCCTTGCTTTCTCCCTCCCTCTCTTCTTTCTTTTTATTTTTTTGAATTGGAGTCTCACTCTGTCACCCAGGCTGGAGTGCAGTGGCACTGTTGTCTTGTTTGCTTACTGTTCTATTTTTTGAAGCTACACAAGTGTTACAAGTATATGCTCTTTCTGAAAACTTAATTAGAATTACAAAAATAAATAACTAAGTCTCTTTGACCAGTACTACTCCTTTTCCCTATTTCCAAGAGGAAACCAATATCAAGAAACCAAAATCAGGTACCAGAGTCTCTATATGCATCTTGCTAAACAGAAGAGTTGCATGGTGTTTTCCACATGTTAACAAAGATACAGATTCCAAAATACTGTATCGGTGGGTTTCAAACAATGTTCCACAGAGCCCCAGGATACCATGGAAAAATTTTAGGGGCTAATGTAAAGAAAAAAGACACTACCGAATACCATTGGTCCTGGGCTCTACCAAATCTGAACCACCAAACTTCAACCAAAGTAATTCTACTATTGTCTTATTTAAATATTGGGGCTCAGCCGGTAATCCCAGCACTTTGGGAGGCTGAGGTGAGTGGACTGCCTGAGCCCGTGGGTTCGAGACCCACCTGGGCAACTTGGCGAGACCTCAGCTCTACAATAAATCAAAAAAATTAGCCAGGCGTGGTAGCGCATGCCTGTAGTTCCAGCTACTTGGAAGGCTGAGACAGAAGGATCATCAGTACCCAGCAGGTCGAGGCTGCGGTGGCCGGGAGTGTGCCACTGCACTCCAGTCTGGGAGTCAGAGTGAGACTCCAGCTGAAAAAAAAAATGTTGAGGCTTCACATAAGATTTCATTTCAAAAAGTTTCTAATGTTAAAAATAAAGAAACTTGAGTCAGACGTGGTGGCTCACGTCTGTAATACCAGCATTTTGGGAGGTGGAGGCAAGAGGACTGCCGGAACCCAGTGGTTCAAGACTAGTCTGGGCAACTTGGTGAGACCTCATCTCTACAATAAATTAAAAAATTAGCCAGATATGGTGGCGCATGCCTGTAGTTTCAGCTACTTGAAAGGCTGAGATGGAAGGATAACCTGAGCTTCGCAGATTGAGGTTGCAATTGCCGTGAGTGTGCCACTGCACTCCAGTCTGGGCAACAGAGTGAGATTCCGACTCAAAATAAATAAATAAATAAATAACAATTATAACAGTCTGAATTTATATCCATAGGACTATGTTGCCCCCATAGGGCTGTGTTAAAAACAACTACTTCTTGCAGGTAGTAGCTAATAGATTTCAACCATCAGAAAGGCTTCAAAGAAGGAGAGAATGCTAAAGATAATAACAATAATAGCAATAACATCAAAACAACAGAAGCTGCCATTTATTGAGGATTTATTGTGTGCCAGGTACCATGCTATGGTGTACTATCTCTAATTTAATCTTCAAGCTAACTCTAGGAGACTTGGAAAACAAAAACATGGATAGAACCACAGAGCTGGTAAACAGGGGAGCCACAATTTAAACCCATGTTGTCTAAGTCTAGACTGCAAGTTCTTAACTACTATAATACACTGTCTTCCCTTATGACCTGGCTCTACTACTAACTCTTTAACCTCTTTTTTTTTTTAGGAGTCTCACTCTGTCACCCAGGCTGGAATGTAGTGGCATGCTCACTGCTACCGCAGCCTTAACCTGCTGGGCTCAGGCAGTCCTTCTGCCTCAGCCTTCCAAGTAGCTGGAACTACAGGCACACACCACCACACTCAGCTAACTATCTATTTGTTTATTGTAGAAACGAGATCTCATCAAGTTGCCCGGGCTGGTCTCAAACCCCTGGACTCAGGTAATCCTCTTGCCTCTGTCTCCCAAAGTATTGGGATTACAGGTGTAAGCCACTGCACCTAGCCACTCTTTAACCTCTTTTTTTTGTTGTTAGCACAAGGCCTGGTGCATGGTAAACATCTGGTAGAATTTTTACCTCTTCCTCAAGTAACTGCAAAGCAAGCATCTTGACACTTAGTTACGTGACAGACGTGGTGACTCAAGCCTATAATCCCAGCACTTTGGGAGGCGGAGGTGAGAGGACTGCCTGAGCTCAGGGGTTCGAGACCAGCCTGAGCAACATGGCGAGACCTAATCTCTACAATAAATCAAAAAAACTAGTCTAGCATGGTGGCAAAAGCCCTTCCAGCTACTTGGAAGACTGAGGCAGAAGGAACACCTGAGTCCAGTAGGTCGAAGTTATAGTGGCCTTGAGCGTGTCATTGCACTCCAACCTGGGCGACAGAGTGAGACTCCAACTCAAGAAAGAAACCTAGCTATTTTTATTTATTTATTTATTTTTGAGTTGGAATCTCACTCTGTCACCCAGACTGGAGTAGAGTGGCCGCTCCCGACCCCTGCAGCCTCGACCCGATGGTCTCCCGCGATCCTTCTGCTTCAGCCTTCCAAGTAGCCGGAACTATAGGCACGCGCTACCACGCCTGGCTAATTTTTTGATTTATTGTAGAGATGAGGTCTCGCCAAGTTGCCCAGGTGGGTCTTGAACCTGCGGACTCAGGCAATCCACTCACCTTAACCTCCCAAAGTGCTGGGATTACAGGCTGAGCCACCAAGCCTGGCTTATTTTTTAAAAATGATCAGATCATGCATCACTCAATTTAAAAAGGCTGACACTAAAACCCAGAACATAAAACTCTCTGTGTTTTAGGAGCAACAGGAGAATTCTAAAACTAAAGCAGCAACTCTCTCTTTTTTTTTTTGAGTTGGAGTCTCACTCTGTCGTCCAGGCTGGAGTATAGCAGCACACTCATGGCCACCCCTATGTCGACTTGCTAGGCTCAGGCGATCCTTCTGCCTCAGCCTTCCAAGTAGCCGGAACTACAGGTAAGTGCTACTATGCCTGGCTAATTTTCTGATATATTGTCAGTATGAGGTCTCACCAAGTTGCCTAGGCTGTTCTCAAACCCATAGGCTAAGGCAATCCCCTCACCTCGGTCTCCCAAAGCACTGGGATTATAGGCTTGAGCCACCGTGCCCAGCCAGTAACTCTCTTTTCTTTGTCTCACAACTTTTATTCTACCTCAAATAATCTATATAAAGGTATTTATTGAAATTATATAGATGAAACTTTACAGGAAAAATAAAAAACCTGCTGGAAAAGGAAAACTTTATTATAAAAAGAACTGACAACACCCCAGTGACTTCTTCTATGTATCTGGAAGACACCAGCCCTTGGATACAGTATGTGGCTGAAGTATACTTACTGCAGAAATTGGTGATGCCTGCTGTCCTATATTCCTGGAGCCTCTTGATTTCCCTTCGGAGTTCAAATTCCACTGTTTTCCCCAAAAAGAATAAAGTAAACAATTGGAAAAACAGAACATCAATGAGCACTTTTGCTATTGAGAATTTTCACAAATTCTACCTTGTATAAAAGACTAAGCAATTTCATTTGGGGAATCCTGTTTCTTGGTACCATCTCATCAGAAATTTTACCCAAGAGCTGAGAAAAACCTACTCTAGCTATCTTCTAGCTGCTGTCTCCAAAGACTTTGTAAAATGGCTAAATTCATGTGTCTATAAAAGTAACATAATTTTTAAATGACCACATGGCCCTGCTCTACCTATTTTCTGTTCTACCCACATAACCAAGTTCTTTTATGAACTTTCTCTGATATTACTTAATGTGGCCCTGATGCAAGGGAAGGACAAAAGTTCTGTGCTCAAGCCCCAGTTAGTTTCTTTATAGCTTTTTTCCTATAAGAACAAAAGAGCATTGTACTTTCCATAAACCAAAGGTTTCTGCCTCCTCTGAGCATACAGATCAGGTTGCACTGTTTGGAATATTATGTGATAAAACATTCAAATTTGGGTGCTTTTGAAACAGAATGAAGGAAGAGCCTGGACATTCCATGGGGTGTAGTTCTTTGGAGTGACACATGAACCAGGGATGTATCCCAAACTGGGACAGGAAGTAAAGGATCAGTCACCCAGTACAAACCATACAAAAAATGCTAACCAAACAAGACATCGGGTAAGGACAACCAACCTGGCTCAGATAAATGCCTGTAATGCTACATAAGAAATATTTGCATGATGAAGACAGGATAAAAACCTTGGTAAAGCAGCTACCAAGAACTAAACTTGGGGGCCAGATACACAAATCTCATGTTGAGGAGTACAGAATAAGCCACTGAGTCCAGATTACTTTAAAGTCCAGGCCTTACTGACATAACAACAATAAATGTTTATATGAAAAATCAATTGGTAACTGGGTAGAGCTCTCTAAGAAATACCATAGACAGCCAGGCTCGGTGGCTCAGCCTGTAATCCCGTGCCTTTGGGAGGCTGAGGTGAGTAGATTGCCTGAGCCTGCGGATTCGAGACCCGCCTGGGCAGGCGAGAGCTCATCTCTACAATAAATAAAAAAAAAATTAGCTGGGCGTGGTAGCACACGCCTGTAATTCCGGCTACTCGGAAGGCTGAGGCGGAAGGATCGCCGGAGCCCAGCAGGTTGAGGAGCGGCCACTGCACTCCAGTCTGGGCGACAGAGCGAGACTCCAACTCAAAAAAAAAAAAAAGAAATACCATAGAGAGGCAACAGAATGATGGAAGTACTATCTCCATGAGGCATCCAACTCTGTCCTCATTTTTAAAACTAGTTTTAATACTAAAATACTTATGAATAAAATAATATAGTGTCTGGGATTTGCTTTAAAATAATCCACTTGAGGGAAGGAGGGAAGAAGAGTGGGTGGTAAAAATGAAACCAGACTGGACATGGGCTAATAACAGCTGAAGTTGGGTGATGGTTATGGGGGTTCATTATATTATTATCTCTTCTGTGTATATTTGAAAACTTCCAAGATAAAACTATACTAAACTACTGTTTATCTGGGAAAAGAGAAAACCATTAGGCTATTTAACTTCTCCTATCCCTATAATTTAATAAAGGGAACAAAGACAGAAATATCAATTTTTTAATTACAGAACGTCACATAAAACACACCATTTCTCTGATTTGTATACACACACACACAACAAATACTTGCTTACGGCTCAAAAACCACCTACATGCATGGCTTTCAATGAACTTGTCATGTTCTACTGGCCCCACAATCCTTGCAAATCGCCTCATTGTTTCATAAAGGTCTTGGACCTCTTTGGGATACCGCCGTTCCATTACTACAGAGAAAGTAAAACATAACAACCATTTCTGGAAAAATGTAACAATCCCTAAGTTTTCTACACTTTCTTTTACAAGAAGTTAAACAGAAGAAAATTATTTCTGAGCTCACATGACTAACTTACTCATGACAGGAACCAAACAGGAAATCCAAGAACATAAGACACAAATCATAATGATAACAGCATCACAGCAACTATCCCACAGTGATGTTATCACTGGAGATCATCTCCACAACTAAGCACTACAAATCTCCCATTCCTCCTTGTCTTTTCTTTTCTTTTTTTTTTTTTTAAAGAGACAGGGTCTCGTTCTGTTGCCCAAGTTGGAGTACAGTAGCACAATCACAATTCATTGTGGCCTCTAACTCCTGGGCTCAAGCAATCGTCTCACTTTAACCTCCTGAGTAGCTAAGACTACTAGTACATACTACCACACTCAGCAATTTTTTTTATTTTTTGTAGAGATGAAGTCTAGCTATGTTGCCCAGGATGGTCTCCAAATCCTGGTCTCAAGTGATCCTCCTGCCTCAGTCTCCTAAGTAGCTGGGAGTATAGGTGCACACCATCATGCCCACCTAATTTTTTATTTTTATACAAAATGAGGTCTAAAGTCAGGTATGGTGGCTTATGCTTGTAATCCCAGCACTTTGAAAGGCAGAGGCGAGAGGATTGCCTGGGCAACTTGGCAAGACCTTGTCTATACAATAAATAAAAAAAATTAGCTGGGCGTGGTAGTGCATGCCTGTGGTTCCAGTGACTTGGAAGGCTGAGCAGGAAGGATCACCTGAGTCCAGCAGGTCAGCCTGGGCAACAGAGGGAGGGAGGGAGGGAGGGAGGGAGGGAGGGAAGGAAGGAAGGAAGGAAGGAAGGAAGGAAGGAAGGAAGGAAGGAAGGGAGTTCTCACTATGTTGCCCAGGCTAGTCTTGAACTCCTGGGCTCAAGCAAACCTCCCACCTTAGCTTCCCAAAGTGCAGGGATTACAGGCATGAGCCGCTGTGCTTGGCCTATTAAAACATTTAAATATTGCAATTATTATTATGAAATCATTCCTATTTGCAGAATAGCAGAACAAACTTTACACTGTAGAAGAAGAAAAAGTTCAGGAATTTTTTCCTGTCCCATTTTATTTAAAATATTAGGCTGGGCGTGGTGGCTCACACCTATCTTAGTACTTTGGGAGGCTGAAGTGAGAGGACTGCCTGAGCCCATGGGTTCGAGACCAGCCTGGGCAACTTGGCAAGACCTCATCTCTACAATGAATCAAGAAAAATTAGCCGGGGACAATGGTGCATGCCATAGTTCTGGCTACTTGGAAGGCTGAGGCGGAAGGATCGCCGGAGCCCAGCAGGTCAAGGCTGCAGTGGCTATGAGCTTGCCACTGCACTCCATCCTGGGTGACAGAGTGAGACTCTAACTCAACAAATAAATAAATAAATATCAATCTGAAGATTGAAGTACAAAAATCACTTGAAGTTAGGAGCTTGAGACTAGCTGGTGCAACATGAGACTTTGGCACTAAAAAAAAAGTTTTTGATTAGTTGGGCAGGAGGTGTGTACCTGTGGTCCTAGCTACTTGAGAGTCTGATACAGGAAGATGGCTTGAGCCTAGGAGTTTGAGGCTACAGTGAGCTAGGACTTTTCTACTACACTCCAGTTTGAGAGACGGTACGAAACCCCATCTCTTAAAAAATAAAAATTAGCCAGGCTCGGTGGCTCAGCCTGTAATCCCGCGCTTTGGGAGGCAGAGGTGAGTGGATTTCCTGAGCCTGAGGGTTCGAGACCTGCCTGGGAAACTTGGTAAGACCTCATCTCTACAATAAATAAAAAAATTAGCTGGGTGTGGTAGCACGCGCCTGTAGTTCCAGCTACTTGGAAGGCTGAGGAGGAAGGATCACCAGAGCCCAGCAGGTTGAGGCTGCGGTGGCCGGGAGCGTGCCACTGCACTCCAGTCTAGGCGACAGAGTGAGACTCCAACTCAAAAAATAAATAAACAAACAAACAAATAAATAAAAATTAAAATAAAAAAAAAAACAGGTCAATGTTAGGAGGTGTGTACACAGCGTTCATTTAAAAATCATTACATGGTTGGTTTGTATAGGGGCCGAACACAGGACGTCCTCTGCTAGGAGTATCAGTCCTTCCAGCTCCCTGGACCTGACCTTCCCTCTCCTCCTGTACTTGTCTGGGGGTGCCTACACTAATCAGGAGTAAATTCAAGTTCGTCTGCCATGAACTGAAAGGTTCTCGAACACATGTCCCTACTCCCGTATGCCTTGGCAGCAAAAACACTGACTCTCTGCCTAGCATTTGCTGGAGCGAAAATATACCAAAGAAAAAGGCTGGAAGCCAAACAGCAAAAACTGGAGGCTGAGAAGAAGAGGCAATCAGAGAAGAAAGACAAGGGAAATCAGAGATTTTGCAATGTAAATATCAGTTTGAGTGGACTTCAGCTGAGGAGAAGGACTTAGTTATTGGATGATATGTCAGAGGATAACCCCCAGCCTATACCTTTAACTTAAAATAATGTGACTTTTATACGCTCTAAAAAAACCCCAGTATTTTTGTTGTTGTTGTTGTTGGTTTTTTTGAGTTGGAGTCTCACTCTGTCACCCAAGCTGGAGTGCCATGGCACACTCACAGTCATCGCAGCCTCGACCTGCTGGCTCAAGCGATCCTTCCACCTGAGCCTTCCAAGTAGCAGGAATTACAGGCACATGCCACCACACCCAGCTAATTTTTTGATTTATTGTAGAGAAGAGTTCTCACCAAATTGCCCAGGCTGGTCTCAAACCCCTGGACTCAGGCAATCCTCTTGCTTCAGCCTCCTAAAGTGCTGGGATTACAGGCTTGTGCAACTGCACCCAGAAAACCCAGTATTTTGTTTACTAAAATAAAATGCCTTTGTAAAAAAAATCATTATATGGTATATATACACTATCAAATACTATCCAGTTATCAAAAAGAATAAAATAATATCTTTTGCAGCAACTTGGATGGAATTGGAGAACATCATCCTCAGTGAACTAACTCAGGAACAGAACCAAACACTGCATGTTCTCATTTACAAGTGCGAGCTAAACCAAGGATCCGCAAAGACATAAAGAACGGTATAATGTACACCGGAGGCTCAGAAAGCGGAGGGAGAAAGGAGTGGAAGGTCAAAAAAATCAGCCGGGCTTAGTGGCTCAGTCTGTAATCCCATGCCTTTGGGAGGCTGAGGTGAGTGAATTGCCTGAGCCCGCAGGTTCGAGACCTGCATGGGCAACTTGG